ATTTTCATCATAATCTTTCATATTTTTATTATTCGCTTTAGAATAAAGATTTGCAATGTAACTCATTCCACCTCTCATTCCTTTTTCAATGAATTGATACATATCAATTTTAGTCATTAATTCAATTTTAATATTTTTCATTTTTAACATTGCGTCCCAAGATAAGCCAGGACTTGTAAAATAATGGCATGGGTCTAATTTATAACATTGAGGAGAAGTTTTTCTGAAATTTTCAAAAACATCAGCCAACAACAATATGTCAGACTTCAAGTACAGATAATGATATTCTCCCATTGATTTGAACTTTAAAGTTTCCCACACAGTTTGAGCATGTTTATATTCATCATGAGAGATATGTTCATTATTCAGTATGATGTAAAATTCATCTTTAGTAGGTGAATTTGTCTCATTGAATTTTTCAAAACTATCCATGAGATCATAAGAATACACACCTTTTTTAGTCATCAAATCAAATTTCTCATTCTTAAATTGCTCTAATGTATATTTAAAAGATTCTTTGGGAAGGTTATTCACTTACTTATCAAGACTTTAGCTCATAAATTGAAAGCTATCAATGAATTTGAGATGATTTCCAAGCATGAAAGTCATATATTTTTCTAAGTTATTTGGATTAGCATTTATATTCGTTAGACACTCTTCTCCTTTTTTAATTGTGTATTTATTGTTCTTAACAATTTCACCAATCTCTTGCATTATAAAATGAGAATCATATCCTCTCAAATTATGAAAGACTACAGGTATTTTCTCATTTATATGAAAATTAATATTACAATCTTGGTGTGCAGAACCTCTGTACGAACCAGTCACGTGACAATAATCTCTCACGCGAGTATCTTTTTCAGTATATGTCTTTTCACAGATACGACATTTATCGGCATTTTTAAATTGCTCTTCATCCTCTTTTCTCATTTTTAGTGTTTTGTTGAATTTTGATTCGATGACACTCTTGCAATATTTTATTTCTTCCATCATTTTTTCCACAAATTTATAAACAGCTTTTTCACCCCGATATGTTTTAATTGGTTTTGTGTATTTATCATCATAACAACAAACAATTTTATAACCTATAATGAGTAAAAGATTTTTTATCAGAAGGCTTATATCCATGAATTTTCTCTGTAATAGCTTCAAAGTCAGCATAATTAACAAATGGAACTGGTAATTGTTTATGATAATTATTAAATTTCAATTTTACTGTCTTTAGTTGGCATTTTAACAGCCTGAGCTCCATTTATATTAAGACGATTATCTTTATGATCATTTAAAACTCTTTCAGAACTGAAATATTGAAAAAAATAATAACAAAAATGCTTTATACTATTATGTTTTGTTATATCACACATAAATCTGTTGAAATCTTTTATTAAAACATAATGTGAATCGTGTTCATTTGTTATCAATACAAGATTCAAATGATCTTCATTTCTTTCTTTACTAACATAAAGGGATATCTTGTTGATTGTCACATCCAAATGCATTTACGTTTATTTTATTTTGCTTTTCTATTTTATTTATTCGACTTAGTTTGACTGGAAATTCAATTCCTGAATAATTTAATTGCTCAACAAACTCTTTATCAACTTTTTTAATCCTCTGGGGATACTTTTCTTGTGGATTCAAATGTCGAATATGACACCAACGAAAACATTCATTATCCTTGTTTTGTAAATTATTCAGAAGTTTTTTAGGATTCTTTAATTCTGGTGGTAATTCAATATAAGATGAACCTTTTGTTGGATTATAATTATTTAAATTTAAATAATGCTTATCAACTGAGTCAATAATCCAACCAGATCCTTCTGAAATCCATTTTGCTATTTTATTTAATAATTCTTGCTCTGTCGATTATAAAGATTTTACTATGTTTATTTCATTTGCTATTGTTTGAGGTTTACTATTGAAATATACTTCTTAAAATTGATGTTCACCATTAGGATTGACTTTTTCAAAAGTTATATTTAATGATTCAACTAATTTTATTCCTTTCATTTCTTTTAATACTTTTTCAATAGACTTTCATGTAACTACTCTTGTGCTTTTCATTTGAATTAATGGATCTTTTTCATCTTTAATATTTATTTCATACGATCTCGTATATACTTTCAAAGCTCTGTTTGTTTCAATTACTTTGGTAAGCTTTTTTGTTCTTGGTGGTGGAACAGGTTTGCCCATTTTTTTTCTTTTGTCTTTATACTTTTTAATATTCTCTGATAGTCCGCAAACGCTTGTTTTTATTTTTGGTTTATTGACTGGAATTATTAAAGGTTCTGTCATTTCTTTTTTGATTTTTTTTCTTCATGATCTTGAACCATTTTTTTAATATTTTTAAACACAGGAGCAAATTTAAACGTACCATGTTATGTTTCAGGTTGATATTTTTTAAAAGGTGTTTGATTAAGTATAATTTCAATTAGTTGATCTTGGGAAAGATTTTCTAAATTTTGTCTATTCATATTATCTATACTATATGTAAATATTT